GTTCACCACATCGCTTCAGTGAGCATCAACGGTCACCATGTCTGCCCTCCTCTGGCCTTAAAAATGCCCGCTCGCGCGTGCGGGAGATGGAGTGGGGGGCGCGTTTATACGTCATCAAATTGTATTTTACATTAACAGAATTTAAAATTAGATTATTTCATGATTAACTGAAAATGTTATTCTCTGACAAGTCAGTAAGGGTATGTTGAATCAACAGGCATCATTTCTGTGTCATCCGAGCTCAAAAAAATAACAACAAGCAAAAAGTCAAACAGTATCTCCGAACTTGATTTTCTATTTCACAACAATATAGATATTTAAGTAATGACTAAAGATCCCCTGAATTACTTTTTAGAGTGTAGGCGGTTACATGTAGCAGTGCCTCTTGCTCTTTCATTTTCAGTGTCATCATCTGGACTGCTGAGTTGAAGAGCATGAAGAATAGAAAGGAATTTCTTTCCAGTGATGACTGACTTAGGGAATGGAAAACTGTACAACCTCCCCTGTTGCCAATAGTCAAAGCTGGTACTTTTATGATTCCCATCTAAATGATAACTGACAGAAAAGAAAATATGTCGTTGAGTGCAGTGGCGGATCGACCGTGGGGGCACGGGGAAGGCACTGGTCCCCCGTGTGATCTAATCGACCACCCCATGTATCCCCCCAAAAAAATTTGTTTGAAATTGATATTACCAATGTAGAAACTCCGAATTACGACGCTCTTGAACGCAACGTCGTAGTCCGACTGCCACTGAATGCACCAAAGACGTAAGGTGCTTTTTGATTGGGTACTGGCATTAAGTTTGGATTGAGAGGTCATTTGCGTAGGTTGATGTCCAAGAAAAGACGAGAAGGAGCAGCATAAATAAATGTGTTTCACAGAGAATGAAACGGAGAGGAGACATTTAAAACTTTTTTATTAAAAAGAAGTCAGTAGCAGGTCAGAACACTGAGAGCAGGGACACTGCAGGTCAGACTGACAGCTCAGAGGCCGCAGAGGGCCAGGGTCAGCCTGAATGCACCAGGGACCATCTTCATGTGTTGTTGAGGCCAGCATCCAGGGCCAGGGCAGCAACCATGACCCTCCAGGTGAAAATGCAGATATGAAAAGAGTGTTGCACCTGTATTTTTACCAAACAACAGAATTTGTTATTCTGTCATAATTGGGTGAATTAAATGACTGAAGTCTATTTGTTTCTATGACTAAACTGATGGCATTGATTTCTGTATTTTTAATTATGTCGTTTACAATATGGCAAGATATTTAACAAATTGCAATTCTTTTAATATGTATGATGTTGGTTGAAGAGCTATTAACTCTTAACTGTTTCAGTCTGTACCTTAAGATGCACCAGTGGTAGACTACTGCCAGGAGTCGGATCCTGACAATGATCACTTGTCAGAAGAATCAGAAGGTAGCAGCACCAGCAGACATGTACAGCAAGATCAAACTTATTATTTACCTTCTTAGTGCAACTTTAAGGTCTGGTTCTGTCATCAGAATCAACTTTAAAGTGCTGTTTTGGTCAATGTAGGCAGAGCTAAGCTTCTCACTTTGTTGTTTTTGTGAGTAGATGCTGTAGACGAACATACACTGTCATGAGATCATATAGGCCAGTATCATCTCCTCATAACTTGATGTTTGTCCTTGAACAGTTTTACCCGAATACACTGTCACTTGGCTCTTCCTGCTTGTGTTCGCTTCGGTCCTCTTGCTTTTACAAATCAGTTGATCCGACACAGAGTTTGCTCCCAGGATTTGGTTGTCAGAGTTCACTTGCATATTCATAACAAAAATATTTTTATAATAATAATAATAATAATAATAATAATAATAATAATTATATATATATATAAAATAGTTAATTATTATAATATTTTAATTTATTACAATTTTCCGTGGCCCCCCAAAAATATCTGTTGTGCCCCCCCACTGAAAATATCCTGGATCCGCCCCTGTTTGAGTGTAATGTCCACCCATTGACTAAATGTAGTCCTTCCATGCATGTTTGTGTTTGTTATCAGAGTCAGTAAAACTGTGCTTGTAAAAAACTGTTGAAACAGTTGTGAAACAGTGTAGTTTGCAATGCCAATGAGCTCGGATCCACGAGGCCGTGCTGGACAAAAGGGGGACAGGGTAGGTGTAATGTCTGGTACTGTAATACCACACCACCTCCCCTCTGCAGGTAAAGGGGTTGTGTTGCTGGCACCACATCCTCTCCCTTTCCCCTCTTCCCCTCCCCTGTCCTGTGCCTCTTCTTGTTCTTGTTTTCAAATGTGGATTTTTGGCTGGATCTGGTTCAGGTTCTGAAGAATGTCTAAAATGTAAAAACAAAGGTACAGAAAAGATTATAGTACTATATTGTGTTAGAAGAAGCACTAATTTACAACTACTACTGTACCACCCCAGAATATGTATTGTAGCCTACTGCTACCAAGGCACAAAGACACCCTCCCTCACAGGTGAGAAAATTTTCACCTTGCAATGCACAACTTACTTTCTTTCTTTGTCATTATTACCGACAGTCAAAATAGTCTTAAACAGTTTCCAACAGACTTAGAATATATTACATTCAAATATTAATTTTTAGAAAATGTAATCACTTACTCAGCATCATCTTTTTCAACATAAAACTCAGCCAACGGTTCCCATTCTGGGTCACCAAACAAACTTCATGCTTTACTTGCAGCTACACAGGCTTAGTTGTGAGCTCTTACCATGTGTACCAAGTACTACTGACACACCCCACTAATTTTTTTTCCTAAAATAATGTCCAAAGATTATTAAAATTGAACTTTTCTATCAAGAATGGAATCCTTCCCTTGCAAAACATGTCCTCGACAACCAAGTCCATATTGGAAATATAGCTCTCTACTTCCGACTGCTCTGGATCTGAGATGTCGCTGTCTCAACCTGCGTAGGCCTCCATGAGTTCCTCTATTGTGTGCTTCCTCTTTATTGTACGTTTTGCCATGTTTTTGCGGTGCAAAATGATCCAAAACAAGCTGGAGGACGCACACATTATGTACGCATTACGCACAAAATGTTTTGACCAACTACACACAGCTTCCACTGTCTCCACACACAAGAAAAATCTTGGCATCTGATACATCGACATGCCTAGTGCAGTCTCTCTCTCCCTCTTTCCATCTCCTCCACTCTCCTTTCCCTTTGTCTTAGGCGGGTATCACTGGCTGGTGTGTGTGTGGTGGACAGGTGTGATGACTCTGATTACCTGAGTGCCTTCACCTGTGGTGGGGCGTGGTCTTCAATTCACCAGTCTACTCCTGTCTCCTATATAAGCTTAGTGCAGACTACGACACAACGTCGGACCGTAAAACTCATAGTAAATAATTGTAAATAAATCTTTATCTGCTAAATTTTGTTGCAGAGTCTTTGTCCGTGCTTCTGTCTCTGAGTCTGATCCGTGACATAACTACCAATTAAAAAGGGCGTGATACAATGGGATTATAGCGTTAGTATTAATGAGGTTATGATTGGACAGGAGTTGAGTTTAACCTCCAAATACCTGCATTACCCAGTATTATAACTCAGCATGTGAGAGGAACTGAGGGGGAGCTTTAAGTTGGCATATGTATGAACCCCAAAAACAACCATTTTAGTCAGTCAATAATCACATCTACTCAAAGTGTCATCAGGCAAGCTCCTGAGTTGCTACCTGCTCATTTATTGCAGATCACATTGGAAAAGTTCAGCAGCTGTCGTCATGCAAGATAGTAAAATCAGTTTTATAGATTCATGTCGAGGTGAGCACTGTTGTCTCGCAGCAAGAAGGTTGCCGGTTCGCGTCCCGGTGGGGGCACCGGAATTTTTCTACATGGAGTTTGCATGTTCTCCCCGTGCAGCGTGGGTTCTCTCCGGGTTCTCCGGCTTCCTCCCACACAGTCCAAAAACATGCTGAGGTTAATTGGTGATTCTAAATTGTCTGTAGGTGTGAATGTGAGTGTGCTTGGTTGTCTGTCTCTAAGTGTAGCCCTGTGATAGACTGGCGACCTGTCCAGGGGGTCCCCTGCCTTCACCCTAAGTCAGCTGGGATAGGCTCCAGCCCCCCCGCGACCCTAGTGAGGATTAAGCGGTGTATAGATAATGGATGGATGGATGTCGAGGTGTAAATGTAAGCAGGGGTGTTAAAAGAATCTGCACATTTATCAATGCTAATTTCAGAAGGCAGAATCTATGATATCCTCTTAGAGGCAATACAGGTGGGAAGGTAGTGGTATTCCATGACTGTCCAATAAATATCGACGCTGAGCTTCTTTTTCTCTCTACCATTCCCGCCTTGAGACTAAACTAAGCTCTTGTAAACAACTGAGAGACAAAAGGAGAGAAAACAAGAAGGGGGGGCTGGACACATTTTGCTTGTGATGTCATGACTGTGTTCTATGTGCAACAAAGCTTTTTGCCACATTGTTTTTACAGGGTTAACTGGGTTCTACTTGTGACACTTTTACGGTACAAATCAGAATTTTATGTTGGCCTTGAGGGCTTAACGCACTGCAAACACGAGTATAGAAAACACAGAGAAATGCATCACAGTATGAAGTGTGACCTTTCGACACATTTAAAGGTCCAGTGTGTAGAATTTAGGGGGTTTACTCGTAGAAAAAAAAAATTATATCGAGAATTATTTATTTTTATAAGTGTACAATCATCCGAAAAGAAGAATTGTGTTTTTTGTATCTTAAGGAACTGATATGCAGCACAACATTTGTTTGCATCCATATTAGTTTTATTAGCACCAAGGGGACTCTTAATTGAATGTGCCACGCTCTGCAACCTTTGGTGTAAGTTGCAGTAGTGATGAGTTTTAATAACAAATACAGCCTGTCCCATGTACAGTCATATTGGTCAATTCTGAAAACTGTCAACCTGAAATGGAACTTGGAGTTGAATTGTAACTGATAATGATGGCCAAGTAACATGTTAGTGATGTAAGTAGAAATAGATGAATATGAAATTGTGTGTGTGTGTGTTGTAGATCTATCGCCGTTGCTGGTTGGTGTTCAAGAAGTCATCGAGCAAAGGACCTCGTCGTCTGGAGAAGTACCCTGATGAGAAGGCTGCCTACATTAGAGCATGTCCAAAAGTAAGTGTGTGTACGTGCATGCATGCATGTGTGTATGTAGGGTAGGTAGTCTGTTCTGCAGGAGAAAGCCATAGAGTTAACACACACACACACACACACACAGGAGGAAATGAAAGGTTTCAGCCTTCACAATAAAGACTGGTTCTTTTACTTCTGAGCTCAGCAGGAGTCAACTATCCTTCTTGCTCTCTTTTTCTTAACTCTCTCCTCATTTGTCATCATTGTCACCTCTCCTTTACTTTCTCTTTTTTGCCTACTTTCAAACACCGTCATTTAGCTTCCTTTAGCACACTATTGCACTTGTGAATTTGTAGTGCAACTTTGCTGTTTGTACTTTGTGATTAACAATGACAAAATGTAGCCTGTATGTCTTCCAAATAATGTAAAGGCTTTGCAGAAAGTTTTACTTTAACACTAGTGTTCTAATGAACAAATTTTGTAATTAAATACTTTACTAAGTCTGATACATTTTCAAGATGAAGTTTACTGCAAAAACAGATTTTACAGTCAGATGCATGTGATTGTTGTTTATGGTCCAACCAGCAAGCACAAGTGACCAAGCAATATTGATCAAAAATGTACATATCTGTGTTATGACTCCACATAGAAAATAATTGCCAGAGAAACTATCTATGAGGAGGGGATATGACTGTAAGACTTCACAAAGTTGAAAATAATACAGGAGGATTAGTGACCTACTGAAGTTGAAACACTATTACAGCAGTAATCAGCAGGTACAGAATGAGCCATAATACCGCAAATCAGGAACGTATCCATCTTAAAATTCTGGCATGGACAGTGTTCTACACTGTTGCCTGTAAAGTTGGAATAATTTTAAAAAAATATATTTTTTACCTCTCCTCATTCAATGATTGTGACAATGCAACTTATTCTTGATAGATAAAGTGTATATTTTCTCAAAACTTTATTGATATCACAATATACATACAATACATATCAGAGTAAAATTTAAACCACAATTAACTTTTATAAACTGTGTATTCAGGCTTAAACAAAATTGTGGGTATTTAACAATGGCAGTAAAGGTTTTGTTTCAATTGTTCAACCTTGGTCAATTCAACAGGAAACACATATTCAAGGGGCTTTCATGTAAAAGAATGTCCAATATTACTCTTTAAAATGTCACTCAGTACCTAATGTTGAGTATGGCCACCCCTTATATGAATCAACAAATCAAGACATCATGGTATACTGTCCAAAAGCATGCTGATGGTGTCAATGGGCAGGACGTCCCATTCTTCAGTCAGATCCCAGAATCAGAATTCATTTCATCTGAGTAACTGGGACTCAGTATGTATTCATTGCACCTGGTCATAAGTGATTACTGATGTGTATAAATAAAAATAAAAGCATAAAATAAAAACAAAAATTATTCCAACTTTATAGGCAACAGTGTACTTGCACAGTTTAGCTCTGAAAACAGATGGTCAAGTACTTCAAACTTGGCACAAGTACAGTTATCAATGGAAATTACAGTTTCTGTCACAGCTCAGACAGTGTGGAGGACATTGCAGAGTATCAGCGTCTATGGACAGCATCCGAGAAAGAAATTCTTGTTTCCTCAAGGTGAAACTTTGAACATGAAAAACATAAAAGTAAGTCTGATGAATACTGGGAGCACATTCTTTGGCCAGATGAGACGACGATAAATTTGTTTCAGCTCAGATGGGGTCCAGCATGTTTGCCATGAACCTAAAAATGACTACCACAGTGTGCATGCTCCTTACAGTGGAGCATGGAGGTGGGAGTGTGATGATATGGGGCTGCGCGAGTGCAAAAGGGATTAGGGAGATGACATTTATAGATGGCACTATGAATATCAGCGAACAAATCAAAGCATACCAAAATTCAGGCTGACAAGATAACTGCCAGTCTGGAGAAGCTTTGCTGAACCATCATCATGATCATGATAACCATTCAAAGCACACTGCCAAAAACACTCAAGTTTCTAAAGGAGAAAACTATGACCTTCCCAAGTATGCCACCTGGCGTGTATCCAATAGAACACCTTTTGGGGTGTTTTAAAAGAATGGTAGAGTAACACAACACCCCCAGCAAAGAGACACTGAAAAAAAATGTCTCTGAAGAATGACAGAATATCACTCACAAAGTTTGGCCTCAGCTTAAATATACACCTCCATTGAAGTGCCACTGTTTTCCCCACACACTTAAATCAGACAATAACAGGTTTTTAACCTTGAACTTGTTGCCTAGGTGACTGAGATTAGCAACGTCAAGAACATCACACGGTTGCCTCGGGATACCAAGCGACAGGCAGTGGCCATTGTGTTTACAGATGACACCTCACGCACCTTCACCTGTGAATCAGGTAATGTGTGGCCACACACACACATAGACAATACCATGAAGTATCTCCAGCTATAGCACAAGTTACCAGATACAGCTGATGAGCACAGGTTTTAACAGAGGCCCCTAATGAAGCAGTATGAACACAAACAATAGAACAGCAGCAGAAGTGATATCTCTCTCTCTATCCCTCTCTCAGAACTGGAGGCCGAGGACTGGTTCAAGACGCTGTCAATTGAATGTCTGGGCATGCGGCTAAATGACATCAGTATGGGAGAGCCTGACCTCTTAGCTGCTGGAGTGTTATGTGAACACACAGGTTCTTAACACATGCACACAAACTAACATGCAGAGTAAATGTTCCCATTTCAGCGAGATGTTTATTCTTCTACTGTAGCTCTGTGCTCCATTTAATAGAGTCAACTGCTTTGGTGGATGGGAAGCCAGTGAGGGATCATGTAATTGTTGCTGCTCCTAAAGCTCTTTGCAATGATAAAAACTACAGTGGGTACTAGCTATAACCAAGATTTAAAATGGGAAAACACTTTCTTTTATTTAATTCACAAGAGGGTTTCTATTACCAGTTTTTCTGAAAAGGTGAAAGATGTTTGTGGGGGGGAGACTGCAAGGTCATGGTTAGCACCGTTGCCTCTCAGCAAGAAAGTCTCCAGTTTCAGTTGACTTGTCCAAAGTTCCTGCAGAGTACCACAACGTAGCACCCGTGTTTAGTAAAGAGTCGTGGATGAGGACTTCAATTCCTCATCGATTGGGAACGATAAGGCTCCTGAGGAACGCAGTTGGGTCCCTAGATGGCAGAGTTTGCATGTTCTCCCCGTGCAGCGTGGGTTCTCTCCGGTTCTCTACTGACACAATATTGTAAAGTGATTTTCAAATGCTATGAGCCATTGTAGATCTTGGGCTTAAATTCGAAACAGACTGAAGCTGGTGCTATGCAAATCAAAATAATATTCCTACCTGGTTCAGACTGCACAATATAAGCTGAAATTAGCCTGACCAAAAAGATGCAACATTGGTTAGAACAAAAATGGGCTTCAGGCACAATTGATAGTGTTATTGTAGTAGGGCTGTAGGACCAACTAGCCATGACTGACCTCAAACAAAGAAATGGCAAGTTTTTCACCACCTTGCTTTAGAACTATGATTGAGACACATGTGACCTTGAACTGGCACCAGTGTCCACTGATCAACAAATGTCCCAAAGGTCAAAGGCAGCAATACACACCAGGCCCAGTGTGTGACCCAGAAAAGTGGAACACATTCCAAGTTGTTAGGGCAGACCAGATGCCCGTATGATATGTAAAAATCCTTTTAAAAGATTATCACCTGAAAGCACCATTTTGAGAATTGTAATGAACTGTGAAAGAAGACAATACCTCTACTGACCTAGCATCCTTTCCCCGACCACAAAGAAGGCTTCACTCTGTCTTTTGCTGTTCTGACCCAACCATCAACAGACCCATCAATCATCAGAATCATTGCTGCATCACCACAATGTGCATGCAAGTAACCTCCTTCACTGAGGACCTGGTGCAACCTCTTCTTCCTTTGCAACATTAAATCTCCCCAAATTCCAACTTAGCCTACAAACCCAAAGTAACAGTGACTTTCAGATGACTGATATTGTCAAAATACAATATTATACTGTAATACTGTACTCCCTTCCATCAATCTCCCCCACCATCACAGTTTGCTTTGTGTTGTTGTGTCTTAGTGTGTGTTGTATTTGTGCTGTAGTTCGTAATTGTGGTCCATCTTGTGCTGTGGTACATATATGTAGGGTCAGTTGCTTCAACTGTTTGTTGTTCACATTTGAGTCCTTTAATTATATAAATTCCAGATACATAGCATTTCATAATTAACCTTTCCCCTAAAATAATTTCTACAAGCTTTATCTCTTCCTGATATCTTGGCTGATTTCTTTAGATTTTCCCATGTTGTCACAAATGTTTTCATAGAGATGGCAGCGCGCATGGATGCAGCGGCCCCTTCTGGAGACAGCGAGAGTGAACGTTTTGAGTGTCTTGACTATTCCAGACGTTCATTCCGCAAAGATTACAGCCAAGAGACTTTGCTGAACATCAGGGCAATGAAAGTTGCTAAAATTGCAGCGCTCGGTTGTGAATTGGACATACTACACCAACAAGGAGTTCGATCGGAGACTAGGCCGGCAGTTACCCGAGAGAGAAGGAAGCGCAAGCAGTACGAACGTAAACAAAGGAGGAGGAAGAGAGCCGGGATCCATGCTAGGCTAAAGGCTAACCCCTCCAGACCAGCAGTACCGTCGCTCCTACTCTCCAATGTCTGCTCCCTCCACAACAAGCTGGTCGAGCTACGTTTGCTGGGAGAAGCCCGCAAAGAGTGGAAAGACTGCTGTGTTTGCTTTAACAGAAACATGGCTCCATGACAACATCCCAGATGGACATACAGCTGGAGGGACGACATCATTCCAGACAGACAGACAGGCAGCTAGTTCTGAACTTTTCCAGAGCTGCTGCAGGAGCAGGACACTGAACACTGTCAGGGACTCCTCACACCCTCTCCATAAACTGTTTGAACTGCTGCCATCAGGGAAACGTTTCTGGAGCACTGAAGGAAGAACCTCCAGAGTGATCAACAGCTTCAACAGCTTCATTCCACAAGCTGTCAGAATGCTGAACTGTTGATTTGGATATGCAAACAATTCTTTATTTAATTTTTAGTTTTTGGATCCAGAAGAAACGCTCTCTCATCTTGTTTGTACTACTGCTGTATGTACAGCAAAATGACAATAAACTTGATTTGATTTGATTTGATTTGATTTGAACATCGCAACAAACATTTTTAACCTTCTCTCTCCACAAAGTGTAATGATGTTGACCAAAAGAGCACAGAGCATCTCTTGGTGTGTCTCACAGATGTTCATAGTTGTTTTCTCCCTTTTTTTTTGTAAATTTTCAAAGAACAAGACAATCTGCAAGGGTTGACAGTCAACAAGTTATGACTGGTCAGGGATCCATGTATAGTCAGCTATGGCAAGGATTCCTGACTAGAATCTAACACAGTGACCATCATATCAGAGAAAAATACTGTGTAGTCTGAACCTAACTTTAAAACAGCTTTGGTATGAAATGCCTATGTAACTTCTGTGGACAGCAATAAAACTGAGCAATGAAACTACACTTATCCAGAATGGAGCTAAACTGTGGTCCAGGACTTTTAAACTCTCTCACTCAGCTAAGATTTTTGACTAACAGTACTTTGAAATCAAGTTGCCGACATTGTTCCTATCTTTCTTTGCCTCCTCAGAGCGTTTCAGTGTGTTCCTCCTCCCCTGTCCCAACCTAGACATCTATGGAGAGTGCATGATGCAGATCACTCATGAGAACATTTACCTGTGGGACATTCACAACCCTCGCACCAAGCTGGTTACCTGGCCTCTCTGCTCACTGCGGCGCTACGGACGCGACGCCACTCGTTTCACCTTCGAAGCTGGACGGTAAGACGAGGGAGATATTTGACTCCTCATGCTTCCCAGATAAATACAGGTTACATACAACATAGGCCTAAACACACAAAGATCGTGTAAGATACAGTTCAATGTGTCCTTCATTGTATTGCAATAGTGTGAATTTAGGATGAAACACACAACCTTTATTGGAATTCTGTGTGTGTGTGTGTGTGTGTGTGTGTGTGTGTGTGTGTGGGAGACTAACGACAGAGTGGGAGAGAAAGAGTGTGTTTGCATCTGAGACAATTTGAAATAGCAAGACAGCCCTCTAGCTGTGGCACAGCAATGTGTATAGACTAACACCTAATGGAAACAGACAATGTGATATCTGTCTTTTTGTTTTTTACTACATATTATTGACCTGTGAGTCGATGATCAGAGAGGCTATTTAAAAGACACAATCACAACATCAGCCACTTAGACATTATGATGTGACAGAGCCTTTTGATAGTTAAAGCCCCATAGCCCTAATTTGACAATATGTGAGAAAACACAGGCTGAAACAGAAGGGTTGACAGAGAATGCCAGTTGTCCTGTTGGTTCCCACTCACCAGCCACTTTTTTTACGTACACCTTGCTATTACCGGGTTGGACCCCCTTTTGCCTTCAGAACTGCCTTAATCCTTCGTGGCATAGATTCAACAAGGTACTGGAAACATTCCTCAGAGATTTTGTTCCATATTGACATGATAGCAACACGCAGTTGCTGCAGATTTGTCGGCTGCACATCCATGATGCGAATCTCCTGTTCCACCACATCCCAAAGGTGCTCTATTGGATTGAGATCTGGTGACTGTGGAGGCCACTGGAGTACAGTGAACTCATTGTCATGTTCAAGAAACCAGTCTGAGTGATTCGTGCTTTATGACATAGCGCGTTATCCTGGTCGAAGCAGCCATCAGAAGATGGATAAACTGTGGTCATAAAGGGATGGACATGGTCAACAACAATACTCAGGTAGGCTGTGGCGTTGACACAATGCTCAATTGGTACTAAGGGGCCCAAAGTGTGCCAAGAAAATATCCCCCACACCATTACACCACCACCAGCAGCCTGAACCGTTGACATAAGGCAGGATGGATCCATGCTTTCATGTTGGTGACGCCAAATTCTGACCCTACCATCCAAATGTCGCAGCAGAAATCCAGACTCATCAGACCAGGCAACGTTTTTCCAATCTCCTATTGTCCAATTTTGGTGAGCCTGTGCGAATTATAGCCTCAGTTTCTTGTTCTAAGCTGACAGGAGTGGCACCCGGTGTGGTCTTCTGCTGTTGTAGCCCATCCGCCTCAAGGTTCGACGTGTTGTGTGTTCAGAGATGCTATTCTGCATACCTCGGTTGTAACCAGTGGTTATTTGAGTTACTGTTGCCTTTCTATCAGCTCGAACCAGTCTGGCCAGTCTCCTCTGACCTCTGGCATCAACAAGGCATTTGTGCCCACAGAACTGCCGCTCACTGAATATTTTCTCTTTTTCAGACCATTCTCTTTAAACCCTAGAGATGGTTGTGCATGAAAATCCCAGTCAATCAGCAGTTTCTGAGATACTCAGACCAGCCCGTCTGGCACCAACAACCATCCCACGTTCAAAGTCACTTAAATCACCTTTCTTCCCCATTCTGATACTCAGTTTGAACTGCAGCAGATCATCTTGACCATGTCTACATGCCTAAATGCATTGAGTTGCTGCCATGTGATTGGTTGATTAGAAATTTGTGTTAACGAGCAGTTGGACAGGTGTACTTAATAAAGTGGCCGGTGAGTGTATGTTAGTGTTGGCATGTTAAATTAGCAGAAAAAATGTTGTCTCTGGATCTTGATCAAATGGTACTATGGTTCCAACTAATGGATGAATGGATGGATTTTTACTTTGATCTAAGCTTGACTGAGCAGGACACACAGCTTTTCCATGAGAGAAGAACATAGTTCCAGACAGGATTTGAAAAACAAAAGGGATCATCCAGAAGCTCACTGTAGCTGCAATTATTTTTTAAAAAAAAAACAATTAACTCCACCCTAGTAATTATTATAGCCACTGTCACTGACCAGAGCAGGTAGTGGTAAAGTCAGTCCACCAATCCTAAAACAATATTCTGGTGCAAATGGGGCTTTAAATCTCCACAACTGTGGTTCATATCAATAAATAGCTCAAGAAAAATACTTTGCTGCATTTTCGTTCATTTTTTTTCATGGTCACACATTTAAAAAAAAAAATAAAAAAATAAAAATACATAAAAATGAAACCATCCAAGCACTGCATGGGTGTTAGAAATCACATTCTGACTGGCAGCATGTTGTGCAGCCCTTTACTGAATCTGATGTTTGTTTTTGATTAGTTTATGTTCACAATGGCTTAAGCGCCAACTTAACATGGGAAATGAATACAACGTCATATGAAATGACAGGTTACTCATTTCATGGACAGAAAAGAAATTGGCAGACTGACAGCAGGTACTGCAGAACTTCACTGAGCCTGATATGTTTCTCTATTGGTGCCAGAGTCACTAACAGAAATGAATTATTAGGCCAGACAGCTGCTGGGCCTTGTACAAAGTTCATCAAAAGGTTCTTGGGCCTCCCCCAGAAACAAGGGCACTAAAGTTAAAGGAGACTGTATTTAATAATTGATCTCCTGTGCCATTTTCCAGCGAGGCCAACAACTTTTTGAACTATCCTTGTATTTCAGTAGGTTTAGTCACCATAATACTGTATTAGCTGCCGGCTTCATGCTGTGGTACTGTTTTGTGTAGGATGTGTGACAGTGGTGAAGGACTGTACACCTTTCAGACCAGAGAGGGAGAGCAGATCTACCAGAGAGTTCATTCCTCTACACTGGCCATTGCTGAGCAACATAAGAAGGTTTTGCTGGAGATGGAAAAAAACAGCAGGGTAAGAGCCTGACACATCCACCCACACACACATCAAGGCACACATGCACGCGCACACACATGCACGCACACACACATGCACACAGGTGACCGTTACTTGACTTTTCTGTGAACATGACATGACGTTTCTCAGGTAAAAGTGAAGAAGCAATCACACCTGTATTTAGCAGCCAATTTGTGGTGAAACATCTCATTGTCTCCTACTGAGTCTATCTGAGTTATCTGGTACTACATATTTTGAGGCTGAAGACTAATTTCACCACATCTGTGGACAAATCTTTGTTCTCATGATTGCTGAGACCTGGATGTGGGAAGTAGGACTTGGAGTGTGCATGGCTGTATAACATGCTGACATTCTATATTTACTATGGTTATGTAATAGACATGGTCCATGCTTGCTGCTTTATTTGCCAAGTCATTATATATTTGGTATGAATGGGATATTCACACAGGGTCTTTGTGATCATGCTTGGAAGTGTTGTCCTACTGTGTATGAATGAGGCACTTCATGTATGAGGAGATTATATTTCATCAAAATATCACCCAGATACAGGTGTGTGTTCACTTTACCTGAGGAAGAGCATTTTTGGATGAAATAATGTCAGTTACCTGAATAAAAAAGTGTGAAAAAGACAGTTATGCATTTGCTTTTTCTTTGGGTTCATTAATAGCTATACTAATTTTGTTTTGTTCAGGAGATACTTCCATCCATTATCTGTACACCGCTTAATCCTCACTAGGGTCGTGGGGGGGCTGGAGTCTATCCCAGCCAACTTAGGGTGAAGGCAGGAGACACCCTGGACAGGTCACCAGTCTATCACAGGGCTACACTTAGAGACAGACAACCAAGCACACTCACATTCACACCTACGGACAATTTAGAATCACCAATTAACCTCGGCATGTTTTTGGACTGTGTGGGAGGAAGCCGGAGAACCCGGAGAGAACCCACGCTGCACGGGGAGAACATACAAACTCCACGCAGAAAGATTCCGGTGTCCTTCGAACCGACAACCTTCTTGCTGCGAGGCAACAGTGCTACCAACTGCGCCACCCTGCAGCCCCAGGAGATACTTTTGTATCTTTATTTTGATGACTACAATCAGTATTTTCACTGCTGAAGCACAATATTAAATGGGTGCATAATTATTCTGTAACCTTGTTGAGAGGACGTAGATGTGTCAACGAGTAGTTTTAGGATAATTACTGTTGTTATTATTGTGATGTCATCCCTTTGCTGACTGAATGCTGTAATTTACTGTAATTTATATTTACTATGGATAAAAGGACTATGTGCAATTTGAAAGTAGTAACATGGAGTTTGTCGGTCCAATTTTTATGCTGCCTTCAGCTCTGCTCAGCTTTTCAGCATCTTCAGGTGCATTTTTTATTTATTCTTTGCTTTCACAGCCTGCAACTTGGCTCTTCTAATTTTCTCACCAGCTCTGTTTTCATCAGCAACAGGCAGCTGAAAACACCACTGTACATACTGTATACTGCCATAACCATAGCCAGACGGAGTGTGGCAACTGGCTGGTGAACATAGTGGAGCATTTAGCAGCTACAGGATATTGCAGTTAGTTGTGCCAGTTGTCTACGACTGATTCAAGATGCCTGGCACTCCATACAACTGTCATCAGTGATAGAAATTTATGAAAATCTTTGTAGAAGTGTTAAATGTGGTTGTGTCTTCAAACTGTTTTATACTGCTGTTTTTCTAAATCCATTATGCTGTGTGCATATGACTCCCAGTTGCTGTCCAAGGGTTCAGAAGCTGGCTCTTACCCCTGCACACCTACTGCCATCCTGCCCCGATCCGCCTACTGGCACCACATCACTGGAAGCCAGATTGGCATGGATCCTGGCAGTGGTAGGCTACACATCAGACATTTTATTTAGTCCATTTTTATAGTGTCTGAACATAATCCTTTTTCCTTACAAGCCAGATTTTCCAAAAATGAGTAAATCCATTGATTAATGTTAACTTTTTTACACTTGAGTATAATCTTTTTTAGATGTGTGGATTTAGAGTGAATCTAAGATTAAACTTTTAATATAGCTGAAACTGAGAACGTACTGTCTAACATTAGTGGCTGATTCTTACCAGTAATGTGATTCACAGCTTCACACTCCTTAGAATGTGAAAGGTTCTTTAGTTTCAGCTGACTAAAAGCCTGTAGCAATGCTTATTAGCTTTCTTCCTTAAAAAAAAATAAATAAATAAAAATAGTTGACCAGGTCAATAAAAGTTTAAGAAGAAATCTTACAGTCTGACAGCAGACAGCTGTTACAGTAACAGTTGTGTTTCTATCTGCAGGTGATGCTGCAGAAGACGAGCTATTGTCCACACGCTTACCCCTGGACCGCCACACCACAATGCCCCTGTCAAACACACATGCACAGTCCCAGCAGCACATACACACACACTCCCTGACACACTACCCCACATACCCCGGACAGTGACACACACAGAAGAAGACGTGGACATTGAAAAGGTGGCACAAACACACACACACATGCATGCAGGCAGGCAGGCACACACTGAAGAAACACACACTTCCCTCTTTTTATCAGCTGAGCAGTCCAACATTACACCTCACAGTTTATGTTGTGAATGCAGCGAACACACCATCTTGAATGTAGAAAGCAGCTGACATGACTGAATTCTGCAGAAGACTGCAAGGAAAGTGGACCACCTTCCATTACTGCAGTTCTCAAAGTAGATGGGATGATATTTGATGTCTTTCCATGATCAGACTGAGAAACTCTGCTTGGAAGATTGGCATGTATTACCTGCTTTGTAAAGGGAGCTCTGTAAGCTCTCGGTATGCTTTAAACCGCCATGTTTGTCCTGAAGACATGGTGAAGAGCCTTAAAGATTGTCGGGACATTTCTGTACTGAATTTATACTACAGTTTTCTTTTAAAAAAAAATATGATTTCAATTCTAAATGAAAAGCCGTATAAGATGGGACCTGATGTGGATGTTACAACAATGTAAAGTTATACAGCACAGCATTTCATTTGGTAGCCATTGCTGGTTACATCTGCCCAGTTCTCCCCAGGAGTTTGTATAGTCATACACATATGGTGGTCAATAATATGTGTATAAATATGCATCTTTAACTTAATTTAGCCCACTGCCAAAACTAGCATGGTGTCCATATTTACAGTGTACAAGAGAAGTGAGTATATAACAGAAGCAAGTAATCCCCTGTGCAACACTTCACTTAAATATCACTTAAATATACCACCGCTCAGCAACTGCATTTCTTCTATTTTCAACAGTAGAGTATTTGCTCTTTTGTAAAATTGAAAAATAACAGTTTAGATTAACTATATTAAAAACATAGATCCCACAATAGAAACTCAATGTCAGTCAGTACATCTTCCATGATTGAGATTTAAAACTTAAAAACTGTTTTTTTGGGGTTTTTTTAGTATCTCTTGTTGTCACCTTTCTCTTTTAAATACTGCAAAGGTGCTCCTCTACATTCAAGTCAGATGACATTCTTAGCCACATAATAGTTTTCATTTTGTTCTTCTTTACAAATTTTTGTGTGGGTTTGGCAGTGTGCTTTGGATTGTTGCCATGCTGGAATATACCTCTTCAGTTAAGCTTCTTTAGACTAGGAGAGGTCTTGTCAACCATTCATCCATCCATCATCTATACATCGCTTAGTCCTCACTAGGGTCACGGGGGCCTGGAGCTCGAAGGCAGGGGACACCCTGGACAGGTCACCAGTCTATCGCAGGGCTACACTTAGAGACAGACAACCAAGCACATTCACATTCACACCTATGAACAATTCCTCAATCACCTCAAATCAAACCTCAATATGTTTTTGGACTGTGGGAGGAAGCCGGAGAACCCGGAGAGAACCCACACTGCACATGGAGAACATGCAAACTCGACACAGAAAAACCCTGGCGTCCTAACTGGGACTTGAGTTAACCACCTTGCTGCGAGGCAATGGTGCTAACCACCAAGTCACCGTGCAACCTCTTGCCAACCAGTATTATAATATTTTGGTCTCATGCAGTCCTGTGCTTCAGTCAGAATTCTGTATTTATTGTGTTAGTCCTGGATCCAAACTGATCCATCTAAACAAATTTATCTTGAAAGAATGTGCTCCCAATATTCATCAGGCTTCTTCTATTTTCTTAAGCAACGTTTCATCCCCACAGTTTAGTGTCCAAGAGCAGGCAAGGCTGTTTTTCTTGAATGCTACTGAGGTTGACTTTATGCAGTATCCTTCACACTGTCTGAGCTATCACAAAAACTTAAATTTCTACTGACAACCCCTCTGACAAGTCTGAAGCACTTTCCAGTCTGTTTTTCATAGTTTGATTGTGGAAGTGGCACACTGTTTTCATAGGCTGATTGTGGAAGTGGCACACTCAAATGATGCCACTGTCTGTGGCATCATTTAAGAGGACGACCACTGTAGCTCTGATTAGTAGAGCTATGGCTCGTTCTACATCTCCTGATTACTGCTGTGTTTCCACTCATTTTTAATTGGTCATCGAGCCTCCTGTATTCTTTTGTGTCTTTGTGAAGTCACACAGTTCAATTTTTTAATTCCTCTGGCAGTTCCTTTTTGTTTGGAGCCATCATGCAGACATGCAGATAGACATGGCCCATAGGTCCAAAACGGAGAAAGTTCTGGTGTTTACGGTTCCCTTTATATCGATGGTCATGCAGTTAGGGCAGGCTGATTGGAAATCACAGGTAAACTCAGTTTTGATTCAGTGATCACAGGTTTTCTAGCTTGTGTGTCAGTGATCATAGGTGTATTGACTTTTGATTTAAGTGATATTGCACAGTGGTGTAACCACATCTGTTGTATACTTGAGTATTGTTAAAAGAGATTTGCTAGCTTAAATAAAACATGAAAACTAAAAGTCCACTGTAGTGTACATATGAATGTTGAATTTTTAAAGTAACACTATTTTACAGGTCCATACATTTTTAAAATAAGTACTTCATGACCTATTAATTTTACTAGGGTTTCAACAAAAAGAAGTAATAATAGGGACAATAGGAATTTGTTTAAAAGAATGCAATACCATGAATGTCTTGAGGAACTGAATTATACAAAATATCACAGAAGAAGGAACTTATAATGAAGAGTTTTAATCTCACCTTTTAATGGGGTAGTTTTGGACACATGAAGATTTTTAGTATTTCTTTAATGACAAGCTAGGTTGGTTTGAAGCATATTTAAGCCTTTGCAGACAGGTGTATGTTGTCATGTAGTTACTTGCATAGATTTGGTGTTTTTTGTTAGTGAGGAATTTATGAAATGTCACATTTTGACCAAATTGCCACAGTGTGTGTGTGTACAGTCGGATTAGCAAGGTTGATGTTCAATCTGATGTTCAAGCTTGAGTTTCTCACCCCAAGAATGACAGATTTCAAATGACTATCATGGGATCATTGTCAACAAGGTCTACTGTACTGGGTGAAAAACTGCGTGGCCTGAGGCTGCATGGTGCCTTAAAAGCACCACATGGACTGTGCTATCATTGGAATTACATTGACACCTGGAAAGTCAATGTGGAAGATCCTTAGCGTACCAGTGCCAGTCGACACACTTGTATGAAGAACACTTGATAATTTTACTGTTTTCCCATGTTTGGACCAATGCCTTTGATTTTGCTGATAACTGATGTAACTTTGCAGTAAAATGATCTATTTGTGGAGGTTCTGAACTGGGGAATGAAACTGTGACCAGATCAATTTTGATGGAGTGTCTCCTGTGCTAAACTGGACATTCACCAGAAGAGCTTCGGACATTTTCTCAGATGTATTCTTTTATACCTCCAGTTATCCACATGCTTGTATTGAGCTGTATTTGCACAACCTTATATTTTCTTATTATTTAAGGACCAGAAGGAGAAGAGAGGCTTACAGTGTCAAGTTCAACAGATATGGATTTTCGAAAAGCTCATATTAATGATACATTTGGATTGATCCTACCAATATCTGATATTCAGAGCTTTATATGTGACACCCTACATGGCAGATATTCATTTTTCATCATTCACATTTCATTCATTATAGAGTCACAAAACCCTAATTAATGAAATGGGAATTTTTCAGTGGAACACAGGAGAAGAACTGGAAAACATGTTTAAATATATGCATAGTTTCTCAGAAGGGCAGAAACGGGAATGAAACACAGGACAAGGATCTGTTTCTGCCTAAAGGCCACACCAGAGAGGCACTTGTTCACTTGATCAAAGGGCACATAGACCAGTCAAGTCTACAGGGACCAAGGAAGAGAAATCCTGATATTGTAGCAGGGCTGTCATTAGCCACCAGAAAGGTATGTGCAGAGTTCAGTAAAGGTTTCCTAGCATACATTGCCTGTTTCAAACCTTTTAGTTGCTACCACTGAATCAAAGTATCCTGATAAGGGATAGGCTATCACTTCCAGAAACCCTCCACTTTTGTGATCATGTAAGCTTTAAAAAAAAGAGATAGGTTAGCCAGACTTATATGGAAAACAAAAATACCATACTTTATGACCCACACTTTATGCAGTTTTGATTCATGCTGCTGGTCCAACTCAAGAGAGGCCCAGCTTAGTACTGACTTTGGGGTTTTATTGAGGTTTTGCGGCACAAACCTTGAAGCTTTGATCTGGTTCTGTGTTACTTATTTTAGAATGAAATTCATTCACTTATCTGTGTATGACTACTACAAATGGGTCCTCCCATGTGTGTCATATTTTAAGAAGGTATACATCACTCATGACAAGAGCCTTAAAAACAGGTGGTACAGTGCATTAATGAGGCAAACTGCTGTAATTGGCATCAAATTTGGTAGTGCCAACCAAGTTCAGTTCAGTTTGTTTTACCTTCAGATAAACATTTAGATATCTGGTTAAGCTGTTATTTTAAACATGCCTGACAGCAAAACAGGTTAAAAATAATACCCAAGTTGTAAGAAACCACAAAAACCCTTCAATAATTTCTTTATTCACAGGGGGCTCTAGCCGTATTAGAGTCTTCAAAGAACACAGTTTGTCATAAATGTAGTATTGATCACTAATTGATTAAGCCTGTTATAATCTGGAGGGAACTACATACTTGCCTTCATTCTTTGTCTGACAAAGAACACGGCTGTTCATTTTGTTGGGACTGTAGAGGTGAGGCAGGACTGAGAAAGAGATGATTGGCATATCAGGAAGTGATAGACTGCTAGAACAAGAAAGAATAGTTCTGTTTTCTTCCACTGTGGGATCATCTGGGAGATCAACCTTTGATTGTTGCCTTTTTATTCTATCATATCAGTTTAAGACTGTTGATCTGACAGTAGTGGGGTTTCTGAGGACATATCAACCACTTTAACACTGTCAGAAATTGCCTCGTATTTGGATTGTGTGATTTACCTTGATTAATGCTGGAGTCCTTCTATAACTTACACTTCATGGTTAATGGTTTTTATATCATTTAAACATGACAGGGCTAAGCATTTTGTTGGTTGTTTACATATGTAAGTTGTGAACTGTGTGTAGATGTGTTTTTTCTGTACCTACATACTGTATAACATGAGTTTACTGTCCTCTTGAGAGAGTGTTGTACATATTGCTATTTATTTCTTGTGAAATGTGTGCGTGCGTGTGTGTGTGTGTGTGTGTGTGTGTGTGTGTGTGTGTTTATGTGTGAATGAAAGCCTGTTACATGAGGGATTATTGGAATATGTGCTCATATAAAATACAGACATGCCACATTTTTTGCACCGTATAATGTTGAACAAGCAGATAATAGCCTGTCCATACTCAAATCTGCACCGAAGGGAACAATAAGAACACATCTACCATCCTGTCTTGCCCCTCTCACGGTATTAAATCTTTTTGGCCATTCATTAATTACAGTCACACCACCTCTGTTCATACCTGTGCCCTGCTGCTGTTTGTTTGGAGGAAAACCAGCAGCAAAGAAGTTGTCACAGAAGTAACCAGACAGAGAGATGTTTCATGAAGAAGGCTCCCAAAAGCTGGGCTTCACATTTGTGTAAAGGAGTTCATTCCACACACTGTACCAGGATTAAGCTGTTTCATAAAGCAAACTCAAAGCTAAGGACATTAGCCTAGTTTGGTTCTTAACAGCTCATCCATTACTTTGAAATACAGATATGAAATATTGATTACAATAATACATAAAACACAGACACATCACAAAACTGTAATGTTCATTGAAGCAGAGTAGGATGACAGACACGACATACAATTTTTAAAAAAAAAGTATTTTCAGTAAAGCTGCAGCCCCACATCAAGCCTTTAGTTTCATTTGAATTCTCATTAAGCCTAAAGCAAAGCAAAATCCGAGTCCGAGACTAAGAGCACAGTGGTGTTTCTGATAACTGCTAGTGTGCTATTAAACTGACCATGACGATGTTAACGTGGTGATTTTCACAGTTTGAGGTACTAATCTCCATTTTTACCATGTTAGTCAAACATATTGGCATTCTAGTTTAACTATATCTCATACCTGATTAGCATTAGACAAAAAGTCAAACTGAGGTTGATAGGAATGTCAAATGTTTTGCAGGTATGTGAGCATAATCCAAAATGTTGTAGAAACTGAATTGTTGACCTGATGGTGGTATACTAATGTGAATATGAATGTCTCTCCATGTCAGTGCAATCCTTGCAGTAGTTGCAAAGACACTGAACCATACATTTCAATGGAGTTAGCAGTATCTATCAATCTATCCACCTATCCATTCACTTTGAATGTCAGCACAACATTTTCTTACAATCCATTCAATATTTCTTGACATATTTCAATCTGAACTAAAGTCATGGACTACAAACTTTCTTGAAAGTAAGCCTCTTTTATCAGGGTAAGTCTGGCTTTACTGGTGATGCTGCTTTATGAAACGCCCCTCTGGTCATTTAAGCGACATCTACATGCAAAGTGGAAGTGGTAACTGATGGAGAAGGTTTGTCAGCAGGATGGAGAATGACAGCACTGACAGTTTTAATCCAATATGGTCTGAAAGCACCAGGCAGGTAAAGTGTGTGTTTGTGGTTGTAGTGCTATCAAAATGACAGTGTCATCTCTCACCAAAGGCAATGATCTCCTTCTGTAACTGATGACAAATGTTGCTTTCATTCATTTCCACTGTCTCATTAAGTGCATGTTTTGGAGAAAAATAAAGTCCACTTCTTACTTAATGGTGCAGCTCTCTTGTGATGTCAATCCTTTGAATGTGACTTTGATTTTGTCTGTCTTTGTTATTTTATTGCTAATATTTTATTGCTAATATTTTACAATAAAAAATGTTAATGATTAAGTTGAAAGATTCAGCAGTGAAAGTGATCAGCAATTAAGGCTTTGGCTACTGATCAGAAAGGCTGGGATGTAAGCCCCAGCACTGCCAGCCTGCCACTGTTGGCCTTAAGCAAGGCCCTAAACCCTGTCTGCTCCAGAGGCTGTGTCTAATCTTGTGCTCTGACCCCAGCCTTCTAACCAGCTGGGATATGCAAAAAGGGGAATCCTTAAGGGATGAATATATTATATCAAAAAATATTAAAGTAAAAGAGACATTAAGACCCATGTTTTATGGAAAAAGCTTTACAGTATTTAACCATCTGAATATGGTTCACAAAATAAATGAAAAGGAGGTAGTTATTAACCACTGCATACTGAAGTACATTTTATATTTAAGTATAACGCCTGTGTAAGACCGGTAATATTTCAAACTGCCTCTTGACAAATATTGTTATAGATATAATAGTGGCACACTTTGGCCCACACTATCTGCTGACAATTAGCTGTTCCAAGAAACTGTTTACAAAGAAAGTTCCGGCCTATAAACTTACAAGGTCACAGACAAGTTATCCAATTTTAATTTTTGTTGCTCTGCTGAGGCAGCAAGAGGTTAATAAGTCCTCCAAAGAAGGCAAGTGACCAGCAGATGATCCTCTGGGTAGTGTTGACGGTCCTCTAGAGACCTCTCCTGTCTGCTGCTGAGGAGCTGGCGAAACACACAGTGATATAGTACACCAGCAGGCTCTTCACAGAGCAGCAGTAAAAGGACAATAGCAGCTTTTCCAGCAGGTTTTTTTTCCCCTGAGGATCCTTAGGGAGTTGCTGCTGTGCCTTCTTTACTGCTGTGGTGGTGTTGGTAATCTAAGCAAAAAAAGTGATATTGCATGGCAGTGTACGATCATTGGACTGGCCATATTAGACTTGTAAGTCAGATGAAAACTGGCTACTGTACTAGTTTCTCACTAGGTACAATGTAACAATAACCCCAAAAGAATTTTCTCCAGCCTTTGACGCTATCCCATCTGGTGTACATGTTATCTCTATTGGATAAACTTTTTTTTTTTTTTTAAATAATAAATAGAAGGTAGAAACTCCAGATTGAGGGCTGTGTTCCAGACACTTGCAGCATTAGGCAGTTTTCATAGGGGTGGCCAGGCTGACAATATTACTCATACTGAGGTGTCACTAAAGCGTCACAATGTCTTGGGGGTTGGCCGTTGCTCAGGTGGTAGGGTGAGGTGTTGGATTTTGTCACTTTGTATTGGCTGTGACGACCCAAGGGCAATTTTTGCTGTATTAATTAAAATTATTGTGAGAATATGGAAAAAACTGACACTTTTAGTGATGTTTTAGGAATACAAAGCATTTTATTAACAGATTCATAAATTGTAATACCACCCATGTTGTGGACCAACTTGAGCGTATTTGTGGCTGTTAATATGTAGGCGTCACTCAAAGGTACAGGCTGACTATTTGGACAAGGAATTTGAAGTCTACTATGAACACTAAACAAACACTACATGGAAGCTCAGCATGGAAGTGACTCCGTCATGTATGAATACCTTTGATGCTTGTTGTGAGGGTAAGATCAATCGCCTCAAACAAAGAGAGGCATTTTGTGTCTACGCCCTTAAGGCCACCAGTTTCACTGGTCTCAATTAGATTTACACCTTTCACCTTTCTTATACTCATTTCCTGGGCCGCAAATTAGGGTAATTGTTTTTTTGTTTGTTTGTTTGTTTGTTTGTCATCTCGAGTTAAGTTTTTTTCCATAAGTGGGCTTAACCAGGTTTCCCCTTGAAGAAACTATATATTAATATTGCTTGATGGCTCATGTCATTGACTAGATTTTGTCCTCCAATATCTGCAACATCCTTGACTGGAAAAGTGTTTTGAACAGCATCTGAGAGGACCTTGGCTTAGCATTTTCAAGGTTGTATTTGCTGTGACACTCCCAGAGAAGACAGTGATACAGATACTCAGTGTTGCACACATGCTGACTGCAGCTTTAATGACTCTGTTTCTTACAGAGTTTCTTGTTGGTATGCTGATCATGCCTCTGGCTGATTAAAAGAAATGCTTTTTACTTTTCAAATCCTCCTTGACTACTTGGAGTGACTCATAGTCACAGAATTCATCCATTTCTAATAAAACAGAACAGTAGTTATTTAATGTATTTGTTGGCCAGTTTTGAAAAAAATGCAATCAAACACCTCGATGAATACCTTTACAGTGTGTGGAGAATCAGTTCAAACGGAGAGAGGTCTTTAGTCTACCTCAAAAATGAATGCAAAGCGGCAGCTCCGTGTTTGACGGTAGTGCATCCATCATCCTGCTGAGGGCAGCACCACCAACTGAGGCTCCAAACCGACCCGATGACAGGCAGCAGCAGGGGAAGAAGAAGAAGAAGCAGCAGCAGCAGCGACACACAACCACAGCTGCCACACATTTCTGACAACCTGTACCGAGGCACACTGGTAGTCATCAGTAGCTACAGTGTAGTTACGTGTTCAGACTCAGTCGCTTTGCTCAGCTGACCTGCATTCTGCTAAAAGGACCGAAGAAATGGGCCGAAAAGTGACTGTAGCGACCTGCTCGTTGAATCAGTGGACGTTGGACTTTGAGGGCAACTCAGAGAGGATACTGAGGAGTAAGTGTAGACGTTTACAATTGAAGCTGTCAAAGCCCAGAAGTATGTCAAAGTGTGTGTCTGCAGAACCGGAAGTTGCACTTTGAGGACTGCACAGAGCGTCTGGAGTCCTTCACTTGGAGGCAGCGCCTCCTGCTGCAATAAATGATCGACTTGTGGTTTGAAAGGTGATTACACCTTTAAATGGTTAATTTAGTGGTTTATTCAAGAAGTATTCCACACAAAGTGCTAACTGATGTCCAAGTACTTAAAGTTTCAAAGGTTATTCCCCCAAAATACTACTTATTAAATAATATTAAAGGTTTATTCCACCTAAAAATGCTTTCTTACAAGTTATGAATTTAAAGGTTTATTGATTTGTATGAGTTTACATATCTATTCCACCTATTATACTACCCACTTTGTGTAATTTAACTTGGTTACTAAATGCTTTTATCGTCTTCTGAAGTATATAATGTCCTTGCTGTGATTAGTTGTTATTCAGGCTTGTCAAAGTTGTGCGATGGCTTTATTAGATACAAGATCAAACAAGCTAAGAGTTGTTTTTGCAGCCATTAGCTGAAATGAGACGGTTTGCAGTGTCTACTGAGTTAAAATATTGTTTCTCACACAACTTGATTCACATTCAATACTATGAATATATGAATATTGTTAATCTAGGTCAGGAATGTTGTTGTTTTTCTTTCAACTCATTGAACTCAGTGGGTTAAGCTCAAACCACAGCTGTGACCTTCAGCTTGTACCAATGTGGTTAATATCAGCTGTAGAAAGAGACTTTGTGCGACATTTGTAAGGCAGTCATTTGAAAGCCAGTTCATTGTTGTGAAGGCATTTGTACAGCAGCCTTCTACTTATTTATCTTGTAGAATTTACAGTTAGTTTGTCAGTTTGATGATGTATTTAAACTTGTTCTTTATTTGGTCGCAAAACTGTTAAACACTGCTCAGGCTGTAGCAAAGACAATGAGGCTCAACTTTTCTACCATACCATACTATAAGAAGAATGCTAATGGAATACAGTTGCTATTATAGTCAGATCTACATGTGCCTTAATGTAGGGCAGTAATACAGTTATTTACCATACTGCTGTGGCTGCAGTATGTGGTCCTTTTAGCCTGTATTCTATTTTTAAACTCCTCACATTGGTTAGAGCTATAATGTGTAGTTCTTGTAAGAAATATGTGGCTGTAGACCTCTCCATATTTATCATTGGTCACCTCGTGCCCCTTTCATTCAGATTCAGAAACCCTGTGCTGACGTAACAAGTTGATAACCACTGTATTGTGACTGTATTGGGCTTCGTGACACCAGATAGCGATAGGATATCTCAGGCATATTGAAGTTGTTTTGTCGTACAGGCCCCAGATTTTCATGAGAAACGCTGTAGCCGGTGGGCAGCATGTGGTCAACAGATGCTCGTGATAGAAACCATATATCGCCTGCCGCTGGCTTTGACCTCAGCCCCCATATTTTGACCATCACCTTTTATCAAAACTACAATGAACATGACTCACAGCAGAAGGGAGTACACCCCATGTGCATTTTCACTTCAATGTCAAATAATTCAAAAGTGCATCGCAGCTCAATATTTGCGATATTTGTAAGCAGACGCATAAAATGTTTTCTTTCGACTCGAAAAACAAAAAAAGTTGAAGAACTTACACTAACTAAAACACAGACCCCGAATTAGAAAGTCAATACAGCCAAAATCATTACACTGGTAGAAAACCTGTGATCACTACAACAAAATTTAGTAACTCTGGGATTTCAATTAACCTAATAACATGAATGTAATTATAGAGTGAGTTGTGAATGTCAGAGGTTTCTCAGGTTTGGTCTTATAGACTGCTCTGTCTGTATGTCTGCAGACTCTACAACCTTACAGTGAAACTACAGTAAAGAACACCAACAGAAGTCTGATAAACATTTGGAGCACATTCTTTAATCAGATGCCACCGAGATAAATGTGTGGGCTCAGGTGGGGTCCAGTGTGTTTGGTGTGAACCTATCCAGGACTACCACAGTGAATATATAGTCCTGACAGTGAGGTGGGAGGATATGGGGCTGCATGAGAGCAAAAGATGTTGGAGAGATGGCTTCATAGATGGTACCATGAATGTGGATATACCAGAATGCTTGGCTAACAAGATGACTCCCAGTCTGCATAAACTTTGCAGAAGAGGAATTCCAGCATGATAATCCTCCAGATCACACTGCCAAAACCATGAAATAGTTAAAAAATGAATTACACTAACAGTACAGTTCTCTAACACATCTAACACATAGAAATAAGAATTCAGAAATGATGTGTGTAAAAAATAAGGTTACTCTATGAAGTTCCTGCTGCCTTTGCACAATTCTAGACATTCTTTTAATAATGTTAGCATGTATAAAAATCCTACTTTTACTTCAAATTAAACCAAATTTTTTGCCAAATGTGCAACATCAATGCAGAACTAGTATTAGATGACTGCAGTGTAAAGCACCAAAAATTAACTCAACTGTTTCAATGCAGAATTTAATCAGTTTTATTTATCAAATGACAGGATTGTGCAAAGAGACTCTGCACATCTGTTTTAAGTTATTTTTTAAATAGATGTTTATGTGATGCATTTTGTATCCAAAGTCGCCCCCTTCCAAAAACATGCACGCCTTGTTTATGACGTAGTTCCTAAACCCAGTTATGCTAATATCAAGATGCTTCTGATAGATTTGTTGTATTTTTTAAAATAAATACGAGGTGTGTCAGAGAAGTTCCAGGACTGGTGTCGCAAAAGATATATTTCAAATCCAAACTACAAAGTACAAGTTTTTGACTTCAGACGATCAACCAGCACATCTATAAAAAGGTCCTGCGGCATTTGCTTCGTTTAGTGTGCGAGAAGATGCGAGAGTTGTGGTCGGACAAGTCGTGGCTGCTTCACTATGACAACGTGCCTGCTCACAATGCCCTGAGCATCCAACAGTCCCTGACTGAGAAGAAGATCGCCGTGCTGGAGCAACCTTCCTACTCACCCAACCTTGCTCTGTGAGATTTTTTTCCTCCAGGAAGAATCCTTCCAGGAGTGCATGGCGGCATGGCAGAGAAGGCTGGGGAAGTGCATTAGACTCTAGGGGAATCACTTTGAAGGGGAAAACTTGAAGTTTGTAGATTGGATTTGAAATATATCTTTTCTGACACCAGTCCTTGAACTTTTCTGACACACCTTGTATGTCTTTTCCTAACTGTGTGGAGGTGCTATTCTATATATGAGACACATAAAAATGCAATATTAAGCCAAAAACACTAATCCTGTCTCTTGTATCTGTGTTGTTCCTCTGCAGGTATTGAAATTGCTAAGGCTCATGGAGCGAAATACAGACTGGGTCCAGAGCTGGAGATATGGTAAAGAAGAAAACCTGTTAGTTAGCTTCCAAGATGCTTGTTTAAGTTTTATACTGACAGGAATTAGATTAGATTAGATAGAACATTATTGATCCCTTTGGTAGAGTACCTCAGGGAAATTGTATTTTACAGTTACATCCCGTCCAAATAGGAGGAAGAAACTGTCGAGTCAGCCAGCGTGAGCAGCACCCCTTATCAAATTCAGAGGTTCCCATATTAAATATATGTTTTTTCTTTCTATACACCGCTTAATCCTCATTGGGGTCGCGGGGGGGCTGGAGCCTATCCCAGCCGACTTAGGGCGAAGGCAGGGTGTTTTAATATGATTAATTAATTAACTTTGTATATTTTACTTAAAAAAAAGTTTTTTGTTTTTTTTAGAGATTCACCCAATCCCTGATTATTTGTTATATTTTTAGCCTAATATTCTCACTGAATTGAATTGAAATTCAGTTAAATTAAAAATGCATAATGTTGGTCAAACTGCATTTGTTCTGAAAATACAATCTGTATCGTTACTAGACTTTTAGTTCAGAGGCCTCATAAGGTTTCAGTTTTACTTTTCTGAGTTGACACATCTCTTTTCTTAATCTCTACATTTTCACAGTGGGTACGGCTGTGGAGACCACTTCTTTGAGTCAGACACGTTGCTCCACAGCTTTCAGGTCCTCAGGAATCTTTTGGAATCTCCCATCACCCAGGACATCATCTGTGATGTTGGAATGTGAGTGTCACCCTCAAGCAGTCACATCAGGCAAAAAGCAATATTCAGCTTAGCAGTTCTATCTTTTTAAGCTGGACAGGACAGCAAGATACTTTGACAACACCGAGTACCAGCAGGAGATAATTGAGCATTTTCAATCTTATGTCAAAGGGTTTTAGTGTCCCATTGATCACTAGAGGTAGCAGTCAATACACTGCAGATTGCTGTGACCTAAATTGTTTTCTGTTTATAATCAGTTTTATTCCCTGGGGGGGAAAAAACAAAACAGTCACTATCTAAAGCAGAGCCTTTTGATCAACTGTGTCATTTAGAGAGCACGGGGCACTCGTAATGTCTGCAGCTCCCCTTTGTATTTCTGGATGTTCACCGACAGAACAAGTGTGTTCTTACCTAAAATTCTGTCCTTGTATAGCTGTGAGTATCTTTTGGTGTCACATCTGACAGTGTTTTGGATTGTGTTCCCCTCAGGCCCATCATGCATCACAATGTGCGCTATAATTGTCGGGTGCTGTTTCTCAACAGGTACGTCAGCAAACTAGTCCAGTTTTTTAAATGACATGTACTTCTATTTGTCTACATTTACATAAATGGACACAATGTTCAGCTGGAGCTTACAGAGCACCACTTAACATTTTCTTCCATCCTGTAGAAAGATACTGCTGATCAGGCCTAAGATGATGATGGCTAATTATGGGAACTACAGAGAGATGCGCTGGTTCTCACCTTGGAACCAGTTAAGGTTGGTCATCACTGGGACACTGGGTGGCACTGACATTTTTATTCCTTTTTATGACTATGTCTTCCTGTGTTCACAAAGACTCTTAATTGATATACTACTTTGGTATATGAAAAAGTCATTTGATGTTTGATTTCTTTAATTTGAAATTCATTTAATTTTTATTATTTTCATTTTAATTTTATGTTTAGTTTCTTGGTTATAAATAGGGTGTTTTCCACATAGAATCATCCTAATAATTATTACACAGTAGGCTCAATAAAGTGGTTGAATCAAACCAGCTTTTTCACCAGTGTGTGATAAAGCATCCTCTGGCACTATCTTATTCCTTTTTGAATAAGTCAGGGTTGCTTGTAGAAGCCAGAAGGTAAAATCTGTGCAGCAGAGGTCAAAAATCCGAACTTTAAATGTAGGTGACGTCACCAAGGCTTAATTGCCGAAACTCTGTAGTCTATAATTCTTTCTGTAATTCCCCAATGACATCACCTGGGTAATTTTTACATTGAGAGCTACAGCCAACACATGCATCACTATTTCTGCATGGTGAAGCTAAATTGGATGTGTACCAGTAATGAAGTGGTGCTGGAAAGAAAACTGATATTTTAGGAAGCTCACCTGCCAAGAGGATTGCCATCAGTTTCATGTTGTGTGCAGTACAGAAAGCCGGTAAAGTAGCAGACCTCATGATGATGATAACAGTGCAGCGGGTTAGTTTAAAGGCTAATCACAAGTGTGTTCAGCACTAAGCTATTTTTGATTGGGACAGTGCTCAAACCGGGCTACCACACTGGTAGGACACAGCTAAATCATTTATCACTGCTGCTATCACCAAAATACCTCATTTTCTATGCAAACAAAAGTGAAATGCACAGAACATATTTAGATATTTTATTGAAAGTATTTTTTCACCTTTTGTAGAAGCTAAACATCCCTGTACTTGTAGTGTAATAAAGTGCTGTCAGGTTCGATTTTTTTTGTTGTGTCAAGTGTAATTTTATTTCACATTGCTTGTTTCTTCAAGGCAGGTGGAGGAGTATTTTCTGCCCAGAATGATTCAGGAGATAACAGGCCAGGTAAAAAACACAATTATTTTTAAGTTTATTGATCTTCCTGTAAAGCACAAGCTGTGTTTGCTGTTCGATTGAGACTGAAGACGACATTCATTTCTTATTTTATTGCGTAGTCTGTGATGTGTTAAGGGCTATACTTTTCCGTAATATGATCTTAGCATCTTAACTAATTCTTCTGGATGAGTAATTTTAACAAACTTGAGGGGACCCACAGACTTTATTCTTCACAGGAAACTGAATTTGTCAGTGTTCATAATGCCCTGTTTTGTTGTGTTCATCAGGATACTGTTCCATTCGGTTACTGTGTGCTTTCCACAAAGGACACTTGCATCGGCAGTGAGATATGCGCAGAGCTCTGGAACCCCAGCAGGTAGAGCAGTGAGGGATTGTGTACGGACCTTACAGGGGCTGTCAGAGACAGTCTTAACTTGTGATGACTGAATGTTTTTTGTTTTCCTCAGCCCCCATATTCAGATGGGTCTGGATGGTGTTGAAATTTTTACCAATTCATCTGCGAGCCACCATGAGCTCCGTAAAGCTGACCAAAGAATCAACCTGATCAAGTCAGCCACCACCAAGGTATGCATTCACCAGGAACCTACAAACATTTTCTGTCCATTCTTGTCGAAACATGAAAAAAGTATTTTGCGGGACCCTTATTTATTGTAAAAATAAGAATGAATAAATAAACTACATTTCTGAAATTGTTCAGCTCAACCGACACCTTCTCAAACCACTTGATGTTTCATTTCTGACCCATCTGCACATAGACAGACAATGTAATGCAGGGATCACAAGAGGCCAGTATTGTACCACTAATGTCGAGAAAATTAACCCCTAACATGTTTTCAGAACATTGCCTGCCGAGAGTATGCAAAGTTTGACTAAAAACACTGTTGCATTTAGTGTATTATTTCTAATGTTTCAGAGTGGAGGCATCTATCTGTATGCCAACCTAAGGGGCTGTGATGGAGAGCGTGTCTACTACGATGGTTGTTCAATGGTGGCTATCAATGGAGACATTGTGGCAAAGGGAGCACAGTTCTCCCTCGATGATGTTGTACGTATGGAAGTGAAAAGAACCACACTGGTCAAAACTCTCAACACTGCAAATACATCCCTGCATATTTCAAAATCTGAGCTGAACTGTGAAGTGGCATTTTTTCTCTAATTTCTCTAAATATACATGAATCTGTGCAATATCAGTATTTTTCTTTTGAGAGAAGTATCTATGCAATACCATTGTTTTTTGATATATAGATATGTGCAATACTGGTGTTTTCCACACCCAGAGGAATCTAAATATCCACATATAGAGAAATCAGCAAGGTGAACGTGTTATGAAAATTATGTCAGCCAGACTCATTTGTGTTTCTTGTGTTTGTAGGAGGTGATTACAGCCACTCTGGATCTTGAGGATGTGCGTAGCTACAGAGGAGAAGTATACCAGCCACATGTGGTGAGAGAGCACTGCCTTTCTTCCTATCTAATGCATAAAGCTGATTTTTGTATTGCTTTTATTTAGTGCCACAGTCATAGAGATGCTCAGGAGACTTTGCACTCCTGCACCTGTTTGTTGGCCATCTGTTTAACTCATTGTTGGCTTTGTTTCATCAGTGAGAGTTTCAGGGGCAAGATAGTTGTGGTATCATTAGCATTCATGTCTAAATTGGTATTAAAATCTGGGCATATCTTTATCGAAGGTATACTGAATGATTAACATAATATATGTTAATATTAACACATAAATTATTCTAGTGCTTTTGTCCATGCTGAATACAGTAGTTACACATTCACAGTGTAGGTCTGAAAAAGTATGTGAACCCCTTGACTAATGACATCAGCAGAAAGTAACCAGAGTCAGCAGTTAGCAAACCTGGAGTCCAGTCAATGATACCAAACTGGAAGTGTTTGTTGGAACTACTCTGACTTATAAAAGACACTCAAACACTTTGAGAGATTGCTGTTCACAAGAAGCATCTGCTAATACAGTTAGGGGGAAAAAAGTACTGTATTTGATCTCCTACATTATATATATATACACACACCCACATTTACAGATAGTTTTGCTACAATAATACCCCCATAGAAAAGACATTATCTAATAGTTCTAAATTCATGTCCAGTTGATCAAGGGAAATAAGCATACAAAGCTAGTACAAAGGGTGGTTCTACCGGTTTAACACATTTCCTGGTCTCTGTGTGGTAATTTTACATGAATAAGTCCCCTTGTCTCTTTTTGTTTCACTCTCATACTTCTGTGTTGCAGCCAAGTGAACCCAGACTTTGCCACAGAATCAAAGTTGACTTCTCTTTATCCAATGGTGATGACATCTACCTCCCTACCCACCAACCAATAAAATTGCATTTTCATACACCAGAGGAAGAGATCAGGTACAAAATACATTCATTTTGGTACAAATGAACTTTTTATTCTTAACAAAACACTGAGAATCAAAGAAAGTTTCTGTGTAGAACTTGTACAGTATGGTCGTGACTCAATAATTCGACACTAAATGTAAAACCTTCTTTTATATCGGATAGCAAGGCTGTCGGATTGTCAAGACGGAGGTCGAGATAGAAGGAGGGCTTAATCCTTGAAGGGTAATTTGTTGTTAATTATTGTTCATAGTTGTTATCATAACTAGTAGAGCTGGTCCAAATAGCACTTTCTGGTCTCTGGATATTCAGGCCCAATTAATGATGAATATCCGAACGCGCAGGCAGTACTTGGCTCCTGATGCTAGTTTAGGATAGCGGTCCCAGCTCTCTTTCCATCATCGGTGGCGGCATCTGTTTACTTCTGTAAACACTGAGCACGCTCGCTGCATGTGATGTCGTTGTGTCCTCTTCTGCGCATGCGGGGCAGTTCACACAGCAGATCACAAACAAGTTGCATTAAATTGGAAATGTGAACGAACTCGCAAAAAAATCGGATTTCACAAAACAGTCAGAACATTAAGTCCTGCAGTCTGAACGTAGCCAATCTGTTGGATTGTTCAGTCAGATAATACACTGTTATCCTAATTTGTGACATAAAATGTCATGTCGGAGTCGGAATCCAAGGCTGTCGGTATGTTAAGGCTATTTTTCATGGGTTCTGTTCGTTTTTCCTAAAAACCTGTCAGATAGCAAGGTTTTCAGATTGTTAAGGGTCCGATTATCGAGTCACAACTGTACTTGTGTTGTTCAGTCTAGGACCAGCCTGCTGGCTGTGGGACTACTTACGGAGAAGTGGACAGGTGAGGAGGAGCACACACAGAAAAAAAAAGAAGCTTTGTGGTATGGCACTATGTGTCTCGTTTAGATTATTGAGCATTAATGTCATTGACATAAAGATACTAAGATGGTTTTGATTTGTGCTCCCAGGCTGGTTTCCTGCTGCCTCTGAGTGGAGGTGTTGACAGTTCCTCCACCGCCTGTATTGTCCATTCTATGTGTGTGCTGATCTGTCAGGCTGTAGAGGACGGCAGTGAGTATGATTCACTTTGCTTTGACTGTAAACGGACAAATTCTTTCAGTGTGTTTATCTATACATGTTCTTGTGTAGGACAAATCTGCTAACATTTACAGAAATTCCCCTTGGGGATCAATAAAGTATGTCTAATCAATATATTCTATATTCTGTTATAACATTCTGTTTTCCTTATTG